CGATATTGAAAATATTATTGTGAAAAAAAAAAAAAAAAAAGAAAAAAATATTATAATACCGTATTTGTATGAAATATTTTTCGTTATCGGTATTTCTTCGATGAACACGTTTAATTTCTTCGAAGAAATATCGACACGTGTTGAGAAATCAAATTGAATAACTTTTACTTTTAGTAAATTTCTCTGTTTTATTAACCGGATAACCGTAATTCAGTAGTTGAATATTTATCATCTTAAAAAGAGATGTGTAATTTACTTCTATAAGATTATTATCATAAGAAGTTCGTAACTCCTAAAGATTATTTGAAAAAATAATATCTATAATTTGGGAAGAAATGGAAGAATCTAAATAACTAATCTAAGATTTCTTTCTTCTTCTTTTAAAATATTATCACACAATATTCTTATATACGTGTTGTTACTTGACAATTACATATGAATTATTTGACTCGTAATTGTAAGTTAGTCACTTCCAGTGATACGCAGCGAACATCACATCTTTTTCTTTAACAACGACGAAAGAAACGAACGAAGAAAAAAATCGCCATCATCTGACGGTCTTATCAAATGGATTAACCGTTGGAGAAATTGGCTACGGCGAGTGACGACGAATTTAGATAGAACGCAAGCAAAAGACAATTAAACTTTGGCCGAAAGTTCGAAAGCGTTCCCCGTGTAGCCTCGAGGATGGCGACGGGGGAGGGAAGGGACCGAATCGAAACACCTAGAGCGAACGTCGTTTCATTTAAATGAAAATTAGACGTCGGGTTCGTGTCATCGATTTTTCCTTTGTGAAATTCGCGCGTATGTCCGGGGAAACGAAAAAGAAAAAGAAAAAGAAAAAGAAAAAAAAAAGAAAATCAAGAACGATAAAGTCATTTTAAAAATAATATAATGATCTAGAACTAACTTAAATTAAATAATTTTATATCTCACTTATTTCTTTTTCATTCTTCACTATCGATTCTTTGAGATTATTTAAATAAAAGATTATTCGAATAAAACGATATCGATTGATAAATATTTTTATAATGTTTAAAACAAAAATGCACATATGCAAGTATACCTAAACGTAGACTTGTAGAATCTTACAAAAATATATAATGAGTGGTGTTTATACGAAAAATATTTACGCATCATGTATG